TTTTTTTTAAAATATTAAATTTTTGTAATTTAATATTTTCGAAATCAATTTAAATGGCTTTTTATAACTTATTGAGATTTAACTAATATATTTTGGAAATAATGATTTATAAATTTTGGAAATTTTATTTCCAGGTTTATAAATGTTGAAAATAATTACTGGAAGTTGAAATTTAATTTTCATGATTTTTGCAAAATTGTTTCAAAATTTTAATTGCCTTACCGAAAATAATTTTGCAAAAAGGGCATTTTGGTCAATTGGAATATTCTGGAATTTTTTTGCTGGCAGAATATCCAGAATGCATAAAAGGATTATTATAAAATTTTATTAGATTTATTTGGACATCTAATTTAATTTTATGAGTTTTAGAAAATATTTACTCCCGTAGCATTTTTCTAGAACTGTCTGGGGTGAGCGCGGTTCACCCGGTGTATGTATATCTCTATTGCTTGTGTGGATGTATGATATGCATGGTGGATGATTGTGGCTATAGTTTATTTGATTATAATACGGCCTGCGTGTCGTGCCTTATCTCATAAACTCTTGTTGTAAATCTATTTCTCTCCCTTACCTCAACCGAGGATTCTTTTCTCACGTGGTGGTTAGAAGACGAAAAGATTTGAAGACCATTTGAAGAAATCTAAAAGAATGGAGATAGCCCGAAGTCCAAGTGACCGGAAGTTAGTGGGAGCTATCGTTTTATTTTTCTTTTAGGGGCCACAATCATTACACGTTTATTTAGTGTGTTTTGTGAATGCATGTTGAATGTATGTTGAACGCTAGTAATGGACATGTGCGCGGCCATGTCGATAGGTGAGATCGAAATTATAAATCCCTCACGAATATTAAGTCTGTTGCCTTCTGACCCCCGGCACCTATCCAGCTAATGTGCACTGTCATATACTCAGCCTCAGCAGAGCATAGTACGGTGTATGTTAAGCTGGTTACGGGAACCGCCATAGCGTGGTCGCTGTCGCACGTTGGGTTAGACTTAACTGAGTCTCGGTCAAATGGATGGACGACTCAGAGGCAGTAAGTTGGGGTCATCAATGACAAGTCGGATGATTTTACTCACTCATCCAGCCAGGAGTTAGATCTTTATGATTTAATTGGAACTCTATTCCTAACCAAAGTAGTCTGCTTGTAAGACGTGCCTCAGCCAATTACATGTACGGTGAAAAGGTGTCCTGGTCCGGTTGTAGTAATATTGTTCGCCCAACACCAGACCAAGAGCTGAGAGCCCGGCTCATCAGTTGGAACTATGTTCTTACCTAAATAGTTGTCTTGTGGAGTAACGCCCAAGCGGAACGCAAGATAATGAAATATGGATCTTGGCCCACTAGAGGTTTCGCCGGAAATCTCCGAATCAATATCGAGGGTTATTGATTTGTTAAAAATAGTGGGAGATAATTAATTAAAAGCCTAATTAATTATTAAAGATGATAGATAACCTAGTTTGCAAAATTTTCTGTAGATGGCAAACAACAACAACCCTTTTAACCTGCGTTACATCCTGGAAAACAACAAGTTATCCGGGACCAACTTTCTTGACTGGGAGATGAACCTCCGGATCGTTCTTGACTGTGAGAGGAAACTCTACATCCTCGAAACGGATCCTTCCAAGACCCCTGATGCTGATGCTCGTGCGTTCGAACTCACTTCCTTCAAGAAGTGTGAGGACGACGCGCGAGATGTAAAGTGTATCATTATGGCCAGTATGACCGCGGAGCTCCAAAGGCTCCACGCGGACATGGAAGTGTGTCCTATGATACAATGCTTAAGAGACCTTTACCAGGGTCAACCCCAAAACTCAGGTATTTACGTTATCAAAGTCAATATGTCTGATATCACCTCTTGGGTGATGGATACTGGATGTGGTTCTTACATCTGTACTTCTATGCAGAACTTGCATGAATGTAGACAATTGACGGAGGGAAAGATACAACTAAAAGTCGGCAATGGCGCACTCGTCTATGCATTGGCCGTCGGAACCTATAGTTTATCTCTACCTAGTGGTCTAATATTGCATTTGAATAATTGTCTGTTTGTACCTAGTATGAGCAGAAACATCATTTCTGTATCCTGCCTTGACAAAGCAGGATTTTCATTCGTTGTAAAAGACAAAACTCTTTCTATCTTTAGAAATGATATATTTTATGCAAGTGCAAAAATGACCAACGGTCTCTATGTCCTTTACATGGATACCACAATATATAACGTAGATGTCAAGAGAAACAAACCTAACAGTTTGAATCTCGCGTACCTTTGGCATTGTCGTTT